AAACTCTCGTTTTGCCTGACATAAGATTTTTTCTTTGAAAATAGTAAATATTACTTGGATTGTGGCAAAATGTTCTTCTTAGACATATTATCTGCCGAACTTTTTGTGACATAGGCATTGCACAGTTTACGAGTTTTTTCTTTTTCTCTTTACATGGTACTTTTAATATAATTTTGTATGTTTTCAACAAAAGTAATATTACCATCGAAATTACCTTTTTCACCATTTCCAAAAAATTATTTTCTATATTTGTTGTACTTGTAAAATAAAAACATTATCTGCTGTATCTTTTAAATACGTTAAGTATCATATTACACCCAAAATAATTCCTAAAGTTACATTTCGTGTTCATCCTCACTATTTTAGCGACTCACTTTAAGCTACTCTGATTGTCTTTGTAACCAAAATTTTCCCTCATTTTGATTATTCTATAAAAACTAATTACACGACGAGCCCTGTATATTCTCATCAATAAAAAAAAGCTATAAAAACAAATTTAGATTATATGCTTCTTCTGATTAGTGTAAATTACGTATTTTCATTCTCCAAAAAAATCAAATTCCTTACTCAGAAAACAATTTTCAACCAAATGGCGATATTTACCAACACACACAGACATGATTGAAGATTCAAAAATAAAATACTCCCCTTCAGCTCTTTTTATCATTAGCCTCTACATCGCGTATTCTTAATGTACAAAGACTCTACCCTTTTTTTTCCTGAAAAAAAAAGAGCTACACGTACCACCACTGCAAAGCACCGTTTGAATTAGGCCAGCGATAAATTTGACTCTGCAAGGCAACACATTTTCCTCTCAAGGAGCAGGATGTATACCCATGTATGTACGTGTTTACAGGCTGGCGAGCTTTTTGCTAGCACCGGCCCAATTAGACGAAGACTGCACGTGCACCCTTAAATTTCGATGATGCGTTTCCTTAAAGGGCTAAGCTTTTAGCTGGCTTGGTTTGCTCAAGTAATGTATAATTTTTTTTTTTTTTTTTTCTAACGAAAGCTTTGCAGAAAAACGTGAAAACAAAAGAATTCATCGAAGACAAAAGACCTTCCACCTCGGAGATATAAGTAATGTGCAAGAAAAACAACAAAGTGCGGATAAATTCTTTGACGTGCCTGCTTTTTTTTTTATCACTCCGTTGAATCCGAGTCTATTAAGGATAAAAGTAAAACAAAAGAAAAACAAACGGAGCGAAAGAGCTACGTGTATGATAAACGTAGCTCAGAGAGACGGTGGTAGAGAAATTATTTATATCCAAAGAGAGTTTCTGCCGCTATAATTACGCGGTGGACTTATCAGCACCAACGCGAGCATTAGGAGCTTGGTTTTATTTTTTTTTTTTTCCGCGGAGAGTAAGACAAATGGAAAGGCGAGAGTTTTTTTTTTGTACTGTCCTATGTGTAGTGTGCTTTTTACGCTTTCTTCGGGGTTTCCTTTTCTTTTTCGTTTATTTAAGCAAGGCGTGGGGAAAGAGCTTTATTTCTGCGTGTTTTCTCGGCTGGACTGTCATTCGAGTGTGTGTATTTATTTTGACGTTGTGGACGTCGAGGCTCTTGACTTTGCGGATTTACGATTCTTGCACGAACACGTGTGGGACTTTCTTCAACTTTACTTAATTTTTACTTTTCTTAGTTCTTGTTTTTCTTCCTTTTCTTTAGGGGACGAGGAGTTGGTGTTTTTTTTTCCGTCGAGTAATTACTTTTGTCGGAGACCGAGTGAAATTAGATTATGTACCACTTGAGACATGCTCTTGGTTAAAACTAAATTCAGTTGGTGCTGATAACGATACAATCCTTTTATATTTTGTAACATAATAAACTACGATTTTACTAAGAGTAATATCAAAAACTTTTTACGGCAATTTTACACATTTCTGTACATAAAAAGAAAAAAATAATTATTGTTATTATTTTAGTCGAGAAAAAAAACATGAAAAATACTCATCACAGATGGCAAAAGTTAATTTTCCTTCAAGTTTTTTTTAGAGTGCCAAGCATGTGCGATTGTTATCGTTTATGTTCATAAGAAGAAAAATTTTCAATTCGAGGTTAGGTAGCATTACCAGTTAAACAGTTTTCATTAATTATTAAAAAAATTAAGGTAGCTCCCTTGCCCACTGCTCTAGTCAAGTAGGAGAGTTTAACTCCTGTGTATATATATATATATACGTACAGAAGTGTCAGTATTCTGCTATACCATCTGTCTCATAACCATGAAACTGTTTTTCACGACTTTCTTGGCAAATATCCTTTAAAAATGACCGATTACCAGCATTTTCCAAAACGATATTGAAAATAATAGAGTTTTTTCTACAAGTACATCATAAAACGTCTGCCCATGTTGTTGATTTTGAGTTGGGAAATGCCTGTTAAGCGGATATTTTGATGCTCTTCCGTATGAGCTCGTGTTTAACGGTTCAACTTTGAGCTGAAATTTTGCGAGATTTTGTTCGATTCGAAGTACAAACAGAGTTACCATTAGATTCATCAGATTTTAATTTACCAAATTAAACATATTTTTTTCTCAGGTTTTCTCAACAGAGCTCTACCTTAAAATGAGACCCCAACACCATTTACCATTACTAGACGTCCGATTTCAATTAAACTCCCTTATTTTTTGGACAACCTGGATGACATTCAACACTAAACGAACTAAGTATAAACAAAATCTCATGTCTAATACCATTAATGCAGAAATATGGAAAACTTATAATAGTGCCATTAAACAGTAGGTGGGTGTAACCGACACCTATTAAAATTCTTTGCACGTGCACTTTCATATGTTGTTCGTCACTACTATGTATAAATAAATATCTAGAAAAATATTCTTCAATACACCCCCTTCGTGAAAAAACTCGTCAAAACCTCATGTGGCAAAAAAAAGGGTACAACCAAAAAAAGAAGAAAAAAAAAAAAAAAGATCGGCCCCTCAAATAAATAAATAAATAAATAAACGAAACTCACCGGTTGGTCCACTACTCCAATCCTTTCAACTCTTTTTCCTCTTCCCGGCACTTTGCTATACTCTCCACCAGAGGAAGGACTCTCTCTCTCTCTCTCTCTTGATCGCCTTTCCGCCACAGCGTACGTGAATTTGATGAATCGAGACTCCCTCTCTCTCTCTCTCTCTCTCTGAGGCTTTCACCGGAGAAAAGTGGAGGAAGATCGACTCGAGCATCTCGGTCCGACCTCGGAAATACTCGATCACTTATCGCAACTGCTGATGCTCGCGCTTTTCGCAAGAACTCGGGGAAAATGCTGTCGAGGACGGAATTCGCGATAGCCACGATGACCAGGCGATTCAGCTCCTGAAAAATAATATTCACAAAATTAACACATCACCACGGGAAAAAAAAAAAAAAAAATAGATATAACATATCGTATGAAGCATTCATTGTAGTCCGCGGAAAACAAGCATTACTGTGCACCCCTTTTCATTGCCCGTGGCTTGTAGACGTACACCCACACACTTTACCCTCCTTTGTAGTCAGAAATGATTCTCTTCAATCCAGCGTGCATGGGAAGAGTGAAAAAAAATAAGAAAAAAAACGCGACCATTATACCCTTCTCTATTTCTCCCCTTCCCTCGTCCTACTCGTGCATCGGAAAACGAACATCAAAAAGTATGCGTATACATATTCAAAAGTACAAGCCAGACTGGCTTTGTTCTCCCGTGTACTTCAACCTCTTCTTGATGTCGCTCGAAGATATATACAAATGAAAACGCGCATTCTCTCTCTTTTCCGTCTGTATGTTTTTTTTCTCTCTCTCTCTCTCTCTCTCTTTCCGCGTTGAAGGTCTGTGCAGCGCTAAATGATAAATTATTCCTCTCTCTCTCTCGGAGGATATTTTCTCCTCGGGTGTTCGGGTCGATTTTTAATGATGCTCGGGGTGAAAAAAATCAAACCAAAAATCACCGGGAGAAGGCAATAAGGGAGGAATCCGGGGGATTGATTTTGGGGTGAAGAAAAAAAAAAATAGCGATGCAGCGTACGCAAGGGTCCCGACGCTCGGTCACTGTCTCCCGCGAGCGCTTTCGATCGTTTTTCTCGCTGGTGGAAGGGCACTTTGCCTCGTTTTCGGGAAAAGAATGGCCGGTGACGGCGTCTACTTTATCTCCCTTTTGCGACGCCCAGGAATCCTTTTGCCCCGTTGGCTTTTCTTTCCTTTCGCGCTGTACAGTTGACAAGTGCACGCGTCAAGGAACGCGCGAGGTGCCTTCGAGGAATGCGTTGGGAGCGAGTGGCGTTTATTAGCTCGGTTATTGATGCCATTTGTTTGGCAGTTTCTTCGTGTTTTGTGCTGGTGCGACCGTCACAGTTTTTTCAATCGTTTTCTCATCCCAAAATATTGATTGCCCCGTCATTCAAGCTGCTGTATTCGTCGTGTAGTTGGATGGGACGGATCACGTGGTTTATTTGACGGAATTTTTTAACAATTACAGTTGCTTCGAAATGTAGCCAAGTTTATAATGTTAAAATTATTTGAAACTATACTGCTTTTTTTTTTTTTTTTACAAAAAACGAGTAGATGAAAAATTATAAATGGTGAGAATTACAAATCATACAAAAATATTTATAAGTGTATGTGAAATTACTCATATTAGTTTGTAGATAGTACCCAAGGGTGTGTTTATACAGCACGTATCAGAAAGAATAATGTTAGATCCACCAGTAAAAGTAGACTATAAAAAAAAAATATTAACAACAAATAAGACACGACAATTTTCCTTTCTTTACATAAATAATAAGTGGCTGTCATTTTAAAATAGACCATGCTTTTACGCGTTTATGAAATTACAGTACTACAAAATGTAGTCATTTTCCGTGTCAAATTAAAAAAAAAAATATTAATAAAATAT